AATGACAGGGAATAATGATAAATTAGAAAATAAAATATATACGAATAACTTGACTCGATGGGTTGATTTGCCTCAGTTGTTATATAAAAGCTAATCCAACAAGTGATAAAAATGACCTTTCGTATGTGTATAATACGAACTGAATTAAAAGTGTTTTAATTAAGTTAAAAACGACATTACATCCGGCCCCATGTCGTTATACAAATTCGGAGTAGGTTTTAATTTCTGCTGCTGTTAGTAGCTATAAAATATATTCGTAACTTATAACTATTAACAACATTCAGACTATATTGTTGAATGTTTCATAGTAATAAATTAACAACCAATATCAATGCTGAATATTGTGAATTTTAAAAAATGGTGATTTTATAAAATTACATTTACATTTATTGACGCATTTATGACTGATTAAATTGAACATTCTTGCTTTATAAAAACAGTAATGACACGTGTTCATGTGAAATAAGTATGTGTGGATTAAAACGAATTTCAATACAAGTAATAAGGAGTGGTTAAGGACCCATCAGCGATAGCGTCTACATCCCTAGATCTACAGATCCTACTGAGTACTACGCATGCAATAACATTTTGTTAAAACAAGAATAAATTAATTGGAATTTAAAACGGCTTTCCAGTTAAGGCATTCATTAACTTAACGATTCCAGCATGGGCCACATTTCGCAACAACCAACTGATAAAAATCATGACACGTTTTCCGCACCCCTGAGCTGTGTCAGGTGGCTGTCGCTGCCGCCACGTCATGTAGATTTCGCAATTTAAAACTAGAAAGAAAAACAATTTCAACATTTAAGTGTTTTTTTTTTATATAAAAACGACCTATGGATATTTACTACTCCATACATAATTAACGTAGAAAAACTGTTATTTTAATTGTTTTTAACATTTTACACATCACTGAAAGATGACACAATATACTATTCAATAATGATTAATAGGTTTATGACCTTACAGAGATTTACAAGTTTTCCTTTTAATTAACCAAAAATCAGTAGAGTGAAGATGGGAAGGGGCTGCAACTTTGAAATGGATGACGTCATTTAAGGGAAATGAATACGACTACGTGCATACTTATATACGCATTCACTGAAATTCGTCGACCACATTAGCAGTAACCTCAACATATCTAAATATTTACTGCACAAATAAAACACTTTGATTACACCAAGCAAACAGTTCTCCACCAAATAAACAAATCGTATTGTCTGCTCACATCGTCCACGTGTACCTAACTCCCTTAAGTGTATATGTAATTATTAGTAAATCTCAAAATAATATTTACTGGCAATTCAAACCCGAGTCTAAAGTTACCTTCTTACATTGAGGGTTGATATTATTTCATTGTAATAGGTAATAGACACCGTTGAATATTTAGTACGAATGTGAATAGTTCAAAGTTCATCACATATCACCTGACTCGTGCATGCTAGATTAACTAGACCAGACCAGTTTTTTCATATCAGTGATGTTGCGCAAACTTCAGGAGAAATGAACTCTGGGATAGCACTGACATGTATAAAAGAAGAGACGGACACACTCCTAATCATTTCACTGCTGAACATTGGCGCTATACTCCTAGAGAAAATACAACTGTCAGCTGAGAAGGAAGACACTTACAACGATGCAGTCTGGTTTAGAATTCGCTTACCTCTCCTACCCTCTGCACACCAAGGTACCTCAGAAGAAAGGAAGCAATGGTTCAAAGAAAGGCGATAGTCGACCCAGGGCAGGAACGACTGGAAGCACAACAGGAAATGGTCACTAACTTATACCTAGTCATTCACGATTACCGAATGATTTAAGCAAAACAGGATAGAGGAGCCTAACAACAAAATGTTCAGCGGGATGTACGAATTAACAACAGTTCACCAGGCAACTTGTTTTAACCGACAACTGGCAACCTGATACTCTGACAGACACTGTAGTTTGAAAGATGCTTTCTGGTGGACAATTTGGCAGTGAGCAGTCTGCGGATGTCAACAGAACAACAGTGGAGAGACTTGTCAACAACCAACATATACTGTGAAATATATTGAACACAAGTGTCAGCTGACAAAGACACTTACAACAATGCAGTACTCTCTGCACACATCAGGTGCGTCAGAAGAACAGAAGCAATGGTTCAAAGAAAGGCGATACTCGGTCTAGGGCAGGAACGACTGGAAGCATGACAGTGAATGACCACACACTGATGCCAGTTCGAGATTCGTGAATACCGAACAACATCAACAGAATGTCCATAAACAATCAACATATACTGCATGTGACTGTTCCATCCAGATTTGTCAATCAATTACATCAAAATAACTCTGAACTTTAGGTGTACATCATGTAGATGTTTATTGTAAATAATCTTGAAAAACACTTTCCTGATTTAAATTTATAAAAACGTTAATCTCGCATTACAATAATTGTTAGATAGTAATAATTATGTGTGCCCAGCTTACCCCTATATTGAAACATGAAAAAAAAAATTCTATAATTATCAAGTAATCAACTATTTTATTCAATGGATTTTTCAATTTCTCGATTCTTTTCTTTGTTTATTTTACTTTATTTATTTTATTCAGTATGATTAAATATTTGTTGTTCTATGAATATTTTGCAAGTTGTTCTTCCTGAACCGTCATGCTACAACGATGCAGTACTCTCTGTAACGAACTCACTTATAATGAACTTTCGGAGATAACGAACGAACTCCGTGCCTCCCTCTACTAATGAGTATAGATTCGTGATAACAAGAGTCAATTATATAAAAAAAAACATCAAAACTACCTACGTCATGTGCAATGACTATTCTCCCCAAAATTGGTCAAACCATAGACCTAAGGTCTATGGTCAAACTAATAAAGAAAAGTTGCTGTCAAATATAGTTTGGATTTCATACGGCAAATAGATGAAAGCGAATAGATCTAATTATAAAGATTGGTCTTCTTATCTGGGTGACACCAACGGGGTTTCCCGTGTCATAATTAGTATTTATATGTTATTAATAAGTGATGTCCGATTCTACGTCACCATATACATCTGGGATGGGCCTTAACGTCTACTTAAAGTAAAAACGTGTTAACAATTGTTCTCTGATTCTCAAACGTTTTCTGAACATTTTTGACTATTGCGACTATTAGAAATATCGATTTTTAACAATTTTTAATACCGCGAATTGCACAATGACATATAGTATAACTCGACAGAATAAGGTGACTGATAAGGCTAATCTTATACATATATGCAAACAAGGAACAACTGATAAATATTGGATACTTAGAATAGAACACGTCTGGGGTTTCCTGTGTCCTAATTTGGTACGATGTTAAAAATAGTAATTATGTTGAGCATCACTGTGCTTGCGAAATCTAATCCATTAATTGGTACAAAGATACATGTCACGTTTGATCTATTTAATATGTCCAGTATACTACAGTCAGTTATGTCAGAATGTCAACAATCAGTTGCCTGCGTGAAATTAGAATCTGTCGTCAAACGTATGGTGCGTTTTTATCAACACCGGGCAGTTACTAGTGTGACTTTTGCACTAGAGTAATCTCTGTTAATCATGTTTATAATAATCATTGGCTACAATGTTCCGACCTCCTTTAAGTCAGTCTAGTCTAGACACTCCTTTATTTTAGCCATTTAATAAAAATTAAAAATATGTCACTATTCAATTGTTGATCTGCACTTATTTTTGCTGCAAAATATGTTCGGCATAATCCCGAACTATGCGGATAGTTAAATCAATAATTCGATTATTTTGTGTAACACTCAACTGATGAAGATTAGCCTAATACTAAAAGACATAAGGAATGCATATGTCCTAATTTGATTCAAAAGCAAATATTCCCATAAATTGTCCAATCCTACGTCATCGTACAGTGGTTAGTAGTAGATCGTCCTGCAAATCACAATTATATAAGCACCATCATTTCTACAAAATATAATAAATTGTTTTATTAAACGCCAGCTGCGCGAGTCGTAAGCATCCCATGCGTGTTCGGTAATATCAGAACATAAATGAATGAAAACACTACCACCTCCCAGTTCATGTAATAGGGTAGCTTTTTGGGTCTTTATATATTGTATATCTATAAAAAAAATATTGTTGCATTTGCTTAAATTGCTATAGATCAAAGTTGAATCACGGTGAATTATTGATATAGTAGGAACTGTACGGTCACTGGTAGCATAGTGGTTGTCGCATCAGACTCATGATCGGCTGAACATCAAAAGGGTCGACCCCTACCCTGAGTGAGTGTCCCACAGACTCAATGGGAAGGCCAACCCACTGGCCAAGATTCATTCACAAACGAATGGACTTTGGGTCAGTGGCGGATCTATGGGGTGGGTTCTTGGGGTCCGGACCCCCCCCCCCCGTTGAAAAATGCATTCAATTTGTTTTTGTATAATATAAAAAAATCATTAACTTAGTCTGGCGATTTTAAAGTTTGGACCCCCCCTAAAAAATCATGTATCCGCCCCTGCAAGTGTTTGTGTTCGACCGAACCTGGTTGACACCAGGATAGCACATTAAATTGCAACTATACGTCAATCGTTCGTGATATCCTTCACACGTTTTTTAGAGCTCTTTTTCAGACTGACACGACAATACCACTCTGTCAGATCCTCTACCGTGTCACGGTCACGTTATGTCATTAAAATCGCATTGATTTTAGTATTTTTCGTGTATATCAATGGTTGCATCATTTCAAGCATTTTTAATAATTTCATTACACCGTGAATGATTTGTTTACAGACAAACTTGAACATAAATAGATAAATAAATAAATAAATAAATTAATTAATAAATTGGCAAGTAATAAGTGACATGTGCTATACATTGGGTGGGTTATAAGTTTTTAAGTGTGCAGGTAACAGAAGTTAGAGCGCCGCCAGTGATTGGAGTGTGGAACAAACCAATACATACACAAACAAACATACAAGTTAGGTGAAAGGTCATCGCTATTTTTGTCACAAGGATTCAGGAAAATCGTAGTAGCTTCGTCAGCACACACACGGTGTTGAGGGACTGTGGTCAGCAATATAGCCCAGTAGGTCGTTGCTTATTTGCGCGGCTAGACTACAATCTTCACTGATTTCTTATGTGTGGCGTCACTTCAAGAATGACGGGATACTGATAGTTGTACCAGAGAACAAGATTTGGGTTAGGATCAGGTAAATGTAGCTCTCTCCCAGTCGCTGAGTTTGTGTACATTTGGCCCGAGATGGAATAATGCAACTTGCAACGCAATGCGATCAAGGGCAAGTTAAATAAGTGAATATTAACAGGTAGTAATCGACGGAGCCGCAAATGAGCTTAATCGCAATTGCCTAATTACATCATTGACAGTTTATTATATGATTCTATGGTTGAGGATGAAGTTCATTTCGTCTTAGACTGTACATTCTTTTATACTGCATAAATTAAATTAAGTATTAAATTAATAGTATCGCTGCAGAAAGGATGATATATGCTGTTGTTTAAATTACCATATTGTTTCCTATTATAGTAGTGTAACACAGTTATTATATTAATTCTTTTATTCATTTTATTATTATTAATTTTTTTTTAATTTATTAATTTTTATATAATAATGAAAAATATAGGGCCATCCATGCTAATTTTCTTCATTAATTGGAATAGTAATGATATCAGGTTGTCAAGGCTTTAATATTGTAGCTGAGAGCTACTGGGCACCTAACTTCAAGATCAAATTTCATAAAATTGCCCTAGTTTATTTGTATTTTTTGTTCATTAATATTCGTATTTTTCTAAGGGCACCAAGGCAAAACGGTAGGGCATCTAAGCAATAGCATCCATGGATTATATCTGAACCTCATCGTTTGTGTACAGAATAATTGCTTAATATAAATAATCCCATTTTATATATATTAGAAGCTGACAACATGCCTTCACTGTGCTCTGAGTGTGGTGAAAATGCGGTCGAAGAAGACCATCATTTTAGTCAGGATCACAAGGTGTGTACCAACTGTGGGAATGTGGTAGAAGAACTCTCTTTCCAAGCAGAGAAAGAGTCGTCAGCCTGCTTTGTATTTAGCGATGGTTCTTACTCAGCTTCCACCGTTGCTACTGCATACCATTGGCAGAACAGAAAACGTAAATCGTGTGGTCACAAAGCTGGTTTGAAAGAAATAAGTGAGCTATGCAAACTGATGAAGATGTCTTCTGAACTTCAAAAAAGATCTACTGAGTTGTTCGAAAAGGCGTATAATATAGATTGCTTTAAAAACTATATGACCAAGAAGAAACACGTCTTGAATGGCTGTTGCGTGTATATATCATGCCGTCAGGAAAACTGGCCTGTTACGATTGCATTTATTTGTGATTTAATTCAATGCTCGCGTCAAGATTTCAACTCTGTTTACAAATCACTACTATCACAATTGGATATTCAGATTACAAGTGTGTGTGTTGAAGATGTTGTTAAACATTTGCTCAACAAGTTTGGATTTGAAGAACCTGAATTTGTTAATAAAACTATGAAGGTGCTTCAGCTGGCAAAAGATGCTTGGATTAGCTCTGGGCGTGCGGCTGAACCAGTCGCCACAGCTGCTGTGTACATTGTTTGGAAATCTCAGATTAATGTTAGTGTCAAAAATGTTGGTTTCAAAAACTTCTGTGCTGTACATGGCATTGGTAGTTATTGTAACATCTTAAAGAAAGTCAAGGAAATCCAGCAAACGCTTTTGATATTAGCACATCAAATACCATGGGTTGATAATAAAATGGTCACACAAAAAAACATTTCTAGTTACTTGAATGAAATTTTAAATTACGAGAAGTCATTAAAATCAAGAGCATTAGAAGCACATGCAAGTGAGAGTGCTGATGATGTCCTTGATGAACCGAAGATGATTTTTGAGCCACCATGTTATAAGAAACGAAAACGAGAGGCTGAACCTATACATGTTGAACCTGACTGTATCTCAGTCTCCAGTTCTCCAGAATTAACAGAACTAGATATTCCTGATTCCGAAATGGATCAGTATTTGAAAACGCCGGAAGAGGTAGCAATGTGTTCTAACATGTATGAGATGATGTATGGAACGCCAAATGATAAATAGTTTTTGCTTACATCAAACAAAAGAACTGAACTCTGCTTTCTGTGATGTGACATACTTGATAATGAATCAAAATATATGCAAGTATTTCAAACAAGTGAGACAATATACTGTTTTTGTTTGTTTGTTATTTTTGTCATGAAATGCAGGATCAATCTTTGAGCTTCTCATTAAATTGTGATATTTTGAGATGAAATAAATATTTTTTGCAGTGGAATCAATTTATTTATTCAATGAGTGAGATTACATGCAGAGTGTGGTTGAAAATGATTTTACAGGGTGATTCAAGTGAATTAAAATTGGTAATTGTAGACCTCTCCAATATCTTATTTTTCTAATCGGAAAATCAAGGATAGAAAGTCCATGTACAACATGTGCTAGTTGCATTGCCGACCATAGCAACAAATCATCAAGTTACACAATCAAGTGTGGCTTCCACTTGGCCACCAGACGTTTGTGATTCGTGAAAAACGAATGATTAAAAACCATGTTCAGAATATACAATTCTACAAGACCATTGGAATACAGATAATATATTGGATGGTGGTGAAAAACCTCCTAAAACCAGTAGTACAATGAGAAATGTACCAGAATGAGTACCAGATATGTATATAGCTGCTTTGCTGTGAGTGCTTTTTTTTTGCAAGGGATCCAATGCTTGAATTTATTTCATACAAGAGCCCGAGTGGAATTTAGGCATAAACCAACTGATTTTAAAATGGAGGACTGGTACGCTTAGTGTGAATATTCAGCTGGGTCAACATTCCCAATATTGTTAATACCAGGTGGTTGAAAATAATGTCTTTTACTATTTGATTTAAAAAACTAAATTTTTTGTATTTTGGGTAGTTAGAATCATTGGCTCAAATAGCCCTGGTTCTTTAGGTTTTTGCATTTTTGTCTATGAAGAGTTGAGCTGTACTAGAACACCTATAGTGTACTGCAATGATGAAGTCAACAATGGCAGGCAACTCTGAAAGACACAGGGCATACATGGGAAAAAAATGTAAAAGATTGTGGAGTGAGTGTGGATGGTATTAAACAAAAAAAGGTCAGGTAGGTATACAATACAAGACAGCTGAGAAACATGTATTACCAGTTGAAAAAATGTTTTCTTGCAAAAAAAATAAACTGAAAACAGTTTTTCAACTCCATAAATATAAAAACATTTCTCAAGATAATTGCATGTTTGAATGGTCTGCAAATTTAGCTGAAAGATGATGGTACTTTTGTTAGAATCGCAAAAACAATAAATGTGCTTTCAGTTTGGGAATCAAGAATTGGGCAAATATGAGTTGTAGCGCCACCAGGTGGTGACAATGAGAATATCACTTGTTTGTAGAGCTGTTTGAAACAAGTGAGGTCATGAACAGATTTGTGGGTAACCCTTGCATAAACCCCCTCTACAAACAGGTGATAACAGGTGACCTTACTGGTAGCATACAGTGATGTGGGTGTTAAGATTACCACTTCTATATACTTGTGAGTTTTGTAATCACATAAAATTTATTTCTCAATAATAATCATTTAATATTTGCAGTCATTTATTATTTTGTAATTTAATAATTTTTAGAATCGGTTACATATAAAAAAAAAGATATTTGTAAAATTGTCATCACCCACATTTTATTTGGCTCATTTGCAACTTCAACTATCTTCGTGTTCACATTCAAAAATTCCATAATTTACAATACATTTAATACAAGAATATCAGTTCTCTTGTTTTCTCCATATTTCATGCTACTTATCAATAAGTATGTTATGCACGACTGATTCAAGTTCTGTTCACATAAATCTTCATAAGAGTAGATCATATTTCTTCGAAATAATATGAAATTATTGTCTTGATGTACAATGACTGAGAAATGTACAGAATGTAAAATATGAAGTGTGATACAAATACTAAAAGAAAACGAAAAAAAATGTTGTCTTTCAAGAGGTAAATTTCTAGTACTAAAGTGTATTGTCAGGAAAACAATACAAGTTGACGTGATTCATCAACCAGGAATTGTCTCACAGTCGCCTGAAAAAACTGACATCAATTCCAGAGAAGAAGCAGGTAACTTTATAAATTTATAGAATTAAAGTTGTATGCACTGCCTTACAGTAAAAAATATTAATTTCTTCAAGATTAGACAGTTCCATATATACTTCATAAAACCTTACAAAATTTCTAGCATTAAAGGTACACTGTCTCATAAAAAAAATGATATCACAAATTGTGCAAGCATTCACCACAGAAAAGCTGTAAAATACTTTATTTTAGCTGAAATTAATTTTCGCTGAGAAGACTGACTTTTTTTGTTTTGTATAGTATTTATTCACAGATTTTTGATGAGTTGAATGTAAAATACAGGGAAAATGTATATTCGCTGGATTTTATTTTCACTTAATCATTTTTTCAGCGAAAATTAATTCCAAGCGAAAATAAAGTATTCTACAGTAGTCAGTTCAAGTTGACTGATAATTTTAAAGAAATTGTTAAGTTTAATTAAATGATTAATCAGTGCAATCATTGTCAACTTTTGTCACAGTGTACAAAATTATTTTGTAGTCTGTTCTTCCCCACATGCAATGTTGATATACCGATAAATTGACAAACCTTTTGATTAAAACCTAAAAGCAATATCAGAAACTGTTCAGGTGGTCCAAAGGATGATGAAATTTAGTGAACATTTTTACAAAATGGGAAAATATTTGCACTGAATTTTGGGCGACATGCATAAGTGTTAAAATGTACATGTATAATAAACACTAGTGGTACGGTGTCTTCTGCCCTTAAATCACATAATTTTTGTGCCAAAATTTTGGTTGAACATTTCGCATACTTTCTTGTTAATTTTGAACATAAAGGGCTGCAGTCGTCGTGCCGCGTACTGTTCGAAATGGGACTCATAGCGACGTATACAACGCGTGTAAAATACATTGTATATTTACATGAAATTCAAACACGCGCAGAGCGATGACCACCGCACTTCAATAGTCGAAAGTCTTGAAAAATTATGGAAAAAGTTTATTTTGTGACAAAAGTTGACTTTGGTATTCAGAGGAACGAGGATTAAATCAAAATCTGACGTGTATATATAATAGGCATTATGGGTAATTCCTCATATGTCTATGAATAAGAATCTGTGGGGGTCCCATTTATATAACATCATCCATGATTTCCCTAATTCTTGGTACTTACAAAAGTGAAACAAAGTTACTGAAACTGAAACAAAGTGAAATATACAGTCTTGTTTATTAACATATGCTGTGTAACTTTGTTGAAATTGTGGAACAGACAGAATCGTTGGAAGCGCTGAATAATTAAAACTTCCCCTAAAGAGGACTGTACTCTAACTGGATTATTCAATTTCAAATCTTGTTTTTCTTCTGTTTTTTTTATTGTTGATAAATGATCGTTACATAAAAGTGAATTCTGTGTGAGAATAAGTACTCAATTAAAATTTCTTATTTTCACAAATTGTTACGAGACAGTGAACATTTGATTTGATTTTGAAAATGACACTGCAATCAGAACGACACTTGTGCAGCCCAAATTGTTCATGTATTGATAGCGACCAGTTTTTAAAGAACAAAATATTGTCAAAATTATGTGTTGGGCTTGTCATTTTAAAGGGCAATAAATTTATTTGACTATAAAGTATTATTTACGATCTTGAGCAATGTTTATGTTTCTTGAATGAACTGATTATAATACATATGTGTGCAAATAATACAACAGTAAAATGCGTACACGTAACATGCAGTTCTGACACCAGTGATGTTCTAAGACAGTGAGTCAAGTAATATTCTACAGTTCTACACTCACTGACTGAAAAAAATGTAACTGATAAAATTCATATTTCTTCTACATAATTTGATGGAAACATGCCAAAAGAACCGTCTGGACCGACACCTTGCCACCAACCAGAATCAATTTTTTCTATATTCGTGATGATGTCACCAGGATCAAAGGTTATCTCTGTTTCATCCGCTGTTGGAAAAAAACAAACATTGATATATTACAACCATACACCAGGGCTTGAAAATCCTCTCTTCTTACCCCTGAATACAATATTTCTATAAACAGCGCCCTCTAGTGACAAATGCTTCTGTTAATGGGTGAAAGAAATAGACCATTTTCTTGATAGTCGAAGAAGCGGCATTTTGCATGCACAAACATACAGTTTTGGACTGTAACATAAACTTGCATGCATGATATTGGGTGTACCAATCAAGGTGACAAAAATAAAATTCCTCTCTATCGACTATCAGCAAACTGACATGTTTGTATCTCCCGCCATGACAAAGCAGACATATTTCTGCACCCCAGTCTTGCTGCCTCTGGGAAAGTGGTTTATATCAAAAACTTTGATTGTGTACTCATTTGCTAGAATTAATATCTAATTGTTATTCTCGTACTTCAGATCAAAACTATATTGACGCTTTAATTCAATCTTTCATGTCACAGAAGCACTCCGAGAGGGGATGATTTGTACAGTATCTGAGACCTCTACAATACAGGCCTACATGTAGTATCAACGAATGCAGTCAAGTTCAGCTAATATGAATGTCAGCAGTCTCACTCATTTGGAGATGGTATTGATTTGAGTACCTAGGATTGAAACTGATCAAAAAACCAAGTGTTTTGATTTCCATCATACCGGTATATAAAATCTGAACAGATCTGCTGGACTTGAAATTAAAAAAAATGTTGTGGAAGTCGGCTGTGATGCCTGTTTTAAGAGCCTGTAGTCCATTCAGCCTTAGCAGACACCTATATTGCTCAATTTATGTGTGGCACATACCCACAAAGACAAACTGATGAATGCAAAAACATAGTGTAATTGTATTTGATTAATTTAGTAATGCATTTGGACTACTCAACTTAGATCAAAGAAACCTTAGAAAGTACTCCTGTGGGCTTGAAGGTTATTAGAGATATTGAGTACAAATAAGAAATGCATATATTTATATAAACCAGATGCCTGTTGCCTAATATAGTTTTGTTTCTTGAGATGCACAATTTGAAAGCAACTTGCCTCACAGTAATGTACAGAAGTTTATAATACTATATTAACTGAGAACAAAATGAATAAATTTGATCTGAGTTAATGGAGACATCAGAAAATTACTTAATTTCATGCAAATTAGATAATTAATATGCACGTATTTCAACCATAAATTTATCAGATCTGTGGATCATTCCAAAGCACCAAGTTTAATTTATTTTGATTAGTGGTACCGGGAATCAGTTAATTTATGCAAATTAATTAGTATGCACCAAATTCCACCATAACCTAACATGCATGTGGCTTACCCCAAAGCATAGAAGTTTCATAGAAAGTGGTTCATGAGATAGTTTTTAAATTGCTAAACATTGCTAATTATTATGCATATTAGATTATTAATTATTCATGAATTTCAACCAAGAACTATAACCAAGTCAGTTTATTCTTGAGCACCTATGTACCAGGTTTCATAGAATTCAATAAAAAAATTTTTACTAATTATTATACAAATTAGGTAATTAATATGCATTTCAACCAAAAACTAATCAGGTCTCACATGTTTGTTTGATCTGACATTTTCTTCTATGCTATCGATAAAGAGCCATTGCTCGAAACGTCTAGCTATTTTTAATAGTTATTTAGGTCTACGATTACCAAATATTATCTTCTATATATCATATTTATCGGTCCGAGCAGCGTTTATTAATTTAGGTCTGTACAGATGTTGTTCCAGAGCACCTATGTAACAAGTTCCATTGAAATTTTGCAAGTCATTCATAAGATATCTGTGGAACAGACATACATGCATACACACATACAGAGTAACCAAAAAAAAATTGTGTTTCACATTGCAGTTCATCTCTTACAGTCATCCCCAAAAACATATTGATCTATTTACCTGCTTGATAATCATAGAGAGCAGTGGCACATACTCCTTTGTCAGAGATTGAAGCATATTCTTCTGCCTGTGATTCTGGTGGTTCTTCATAATCTGGTGCTGCCTCATAAGGATCCTCTTCTTGTGGTGATTGGGCCGCCGCCGCCGGGGCTTTAGGAATGTCATATGCAGCCTCTTGCTCTACAAAAGTGCAAATCAAAAATGTACATATCGGTATGATTTATGTGAGCTGATTCCCTGAATGTTTGCTCTATTGGGGTGTTTTTATGCTGGATTATTACCACTATCACAGCAACTTTCATGATATATTATTTTCAAAAATGCAATTACATTGACATCCATTACATGTCATCATGCATTTTTTTTTTAATTTGTAAAATAGAAAAAAATTAAGGAAAAAATCTGAGGTAAGAATGTGATCAGACCAGGCATGTCTGTGATACGAGTGGAGATGCAGACATGCACACACATGGAGGTCAAAACAGGGAATAAAATGTCACACACAAACTTTTGGTCATCGGCATATCATGAGATTGAATACCATATAGCCCTACATATAAGGCTCAATACACAATTCTATTCAATTTCAGAGGCGATTACCAGACTCTACACAACCAAAACGTTGCCATGGAAAACATGTGTATTATTTCTCAAATATTTCAACGGACACATTTTTGAGCTAAAAATTCAACAATTCTAGTTAAATATACCCCGATAGTCTTAGTAGGAGACAATAAACAGAATTTTCCCAACGCCAAAGAAAAATCGTCCATTTAAAGAACCAGCCTCTTCCATGTTCTCCAATACACGTTCATTTTGCTTGTATTGTAAATGCCAACTAATGTGCAAAAATGTTATCACATAATTATTTCCATGGTAACTCACCTCCCCAATCTTCATCATCTTCTTCAGGTTCTTCAGAATCTTGCCTATAAGTAGGAGGTGGTACCATTTTAGGAATAGGCTGAGATGGAACTGGTGGAGCTGGCTCCGGTTCATATGGAGCGTCTGGTTGTGGTTCTAGCTCATATTCAACTTCCTCCTGTGGTTCGATCTCATATTCCGGTTGTGGTTCTAACTCATACACCGGTTGTGGTTCTAACTCATACTGAGCTTCTGGTTGTGGTTCCAGTTCATATTCTGGTTCAGGCTCAGGTTCAGGCTCAGGTTCAGGCTTGGGCGATGGAGTTGACATTGCAGCAGCAGGAGGCGGTGGTGGTTGAGCTGCTGGCCTTGCAGGTGGCCTGGCTGGCTCAGAAGCAACTGGTGGTGGTGCTCCAGGTGGAGCATCTCTAATTACTTTGGGTGGTGGTCTAGCAGCTGGTCTTAATGGTGCTGCCACTGATTTTTGTTCAAAGAATGCTTTTGGGTCATTTTTTCTTGCTTGAATCATTTGAGCTGCTTCCTGTAATAACAAGTTTAATACTAAATTGTATAGCACATTTTAGTTACCATGAAAGTTTCATGTAATTGTGTTAGGCCAAAGTCACTTATAAAATGAATTTTTTCTCAAATTTGAAAAATGTATTTACTTACAGATGTGTGTTCAGATCCCCTTTTGTGTCTAGCTGCTGCTTCTCTCTGATCTTCTGCCATTTGTGCTTCCTACAAGCAATAAGTAATCAGTTAGTAAAATGAACAACAACATAGAGAGCAACCTTTTCATTCGTTAAGGGACTGGCCATAACAAAAACAGATTTGCAGCATTTCACAACTACTGTATTGGGTAGTATCAGTTTTTAGTGTATGTAACAACAAGTTCTGTGAAGCTCTGTATGTTTTACAGTTCACCAAAACAAGCAATCATGGTGTCTTGACATGACTTAAAAACAAGACAGGGCGATGTCCTCGCCTTGAATCATGAACGCTAGATCATCAACATTAGAAATGAATTTCTTGACGATAAGATAAAATATTCATAAATGTTTTATAAATTTCAAACGAGGGTTGAAAATAACTTGACCAGTCACTATGCACGGTAATAAATTGGCATACGAGTGAATAAAACCTGCAAAGTTTCTATGGGGAATGAAAGTATATTCTTTGGATTTGAGTGAGAATCTTCCAAGGTAAAAGGTGTCTTCATAAATTTCACTGTAAATTAAAAAAACAAAGTGATAAATACAAACCCATTTTTGTTTCTCTTCTTCCTTTTTATGTTCATTTTCTTGTTGTTCTTTTGCCCTATAATAATAATGAGATTTAGCAGCCTATTAACATGTGAATGCAACATCACCATCTGATTTTTCCATAATATTTCTCATATTCAGTGGACTAGATAGATGTATTATGTTACATATTGCACCCCACTTCACCCTCACACTCATACACACACAAACTAATGAAACATGAATAGGGTAATTCAGCAAAATTCAACAAACAGCTTCTTACTTCATGGATTGCACTTGTTTCATTCGTTCTGACATTTGACGATCTCTGTCTGCTGCCTCCTTAGACTCCCTGGCTCTCCTTTCTTGATCCATCTTAGCAAGTTGTTGTTTTTTCTGCTGACTCTCTGCCTCCAATCTTTCTTTATCTTCCTTCTAAAAATGTACATAAAATATGAGAGATGAGTACAGAAGATATTCACAGCAAATTTTGCACAACATTCAAATTTAGATTTTTGTTATAAAATATGCAAGGTATTCAGAGTAGGGGGCCACTATATCAAATGAGTCAATATTCAGTGTGTGGGAATTTTTAATTGAAAAATGAAAATATTAATGATATTACGAGTTTGCGCCACATATTTTAACACATGTATACAACATATTCAGAGTAAGGGTCCAAGAATATTCTTGGTGTATCCAACCTTGGTCATTTTAATTTTAGTTAATTTTGAAAGTTCTTGTTGGGAAGTATATAATAATTACAATTAACTTACATGTGTTTTATTCCAGAATGTATCTCGGCTGGATGTTTTGATCTCTAAATCAGCACGTGTTTTTATATAAACTGATCCAACTGGTTTTGGTTCAGGAACAGGTCGTGGTTTCTCTTTATGAAAACTGTAATTTGCTCCAGAAGCTTTTTCTACTTTTTTCTTTAGTTCATTTTCGTCAACATCGTCTTCTGTCCTGGCGTTGATGGTAACATGGGCACCCTTAATTTTGAAAAAAAAGAAATCACATGTGAAACATATTTTGTAGCAATTAAAATAATCACATCATCATGCTGATCCATATTGAACATTATGCACAACAACTATAGCACTTATAATTTTTTAACTACATCTTTGAAAAGAAAAAATTCTCTTACCCTAAACAGGCCAGCTACGTCCCTGTAATGCCGGGCGCAGGTACCTTTTCTATCAATAGGAGCACCTTCACCACTCTAGAAAATCAAAATATTAATGATTTTTATATAGAAAATTTAGTTATAACGTTGAAACGATAATAAAGGTGTGTTTTGCAATGTTTGTTGGAATATTGAATAAGTGATTTTCAAGTTGTCTCATGTCAGAATGTGACTGATCAAATCCAACAACAAGTCAATATGTTAATCAGCATGAGCATACTACTATACTTACCCAATTCACGAGTACATATTTAGGCAGGTTGGTATTCGGATCCAATACTCTACAGAAAGCGTACATAACTTTACTGCCATTTAATTCATCAACCATCTCGTCAAGGTCATCTATAGGTGTGATGTATTCAAAATGTATATTAATTGGTATTGATAGTCAATGAAATCAAACACAGGTGGCAGTCAATGTACTATGAATTTGTCCTTCTAGACTGGTTCAGACTCAATGCTCGATCTTTACTGAATTATCATTCGAGCAATTTCAAAATGGTTCATGAAAAAAGAAAAACATTCAAAATAGGGTGCAGGATTTTTTCATAAATGTTTCATCCCTTGAATGAAAACAATAAGGCATGTAAATATACCTTAATAGTAGTGCATAAAAAACTGGTAAATAAATTTTTTTTTGATTATATGCTGTTTCCATATAAGTTGCATAAACATTCAATATATTATTATTAAAAATGCAGCTTAAGCGTCTTTTAGAGACATTTTGTCATTCATTATTGATTTCACACAACTATGCAAGCATTTCATTTCATTTGGTGATTTGAAAGGCCTAAAGAGGGAAGTACTGATGTCAACCACATCTCACTGAATACTTCCTTCTGTGATTGAATTAAGACGTCAGCATACATTCATTGACATAAAACAACGCATACTGAATCCATTAGTAACGAAAAACTTACCTCCCGTTTCAACCACTTTGAGTTCATACGTCTTGCCATCATATCCAAACACGGCCCTAGTTGAAAATAATAAATTAATTTGCATAAAATATGTGTAACTAGAACTAAAGAACTAGATTTATGCGAATAAAATCAATATTCTGCTGATAAGATAATTACATATTTTGTTTTATAATCATTGAATCAGCCATCGGAATAGAGGAACAGGTGTTCAACAGAATTAAAATTGCATTCTTAAAATCTTACTTGAAGCAGACCATGAAAATCAACATTTAAATTAGTTTTAATTGTTACCAATCGGAATGAAAAGTTACTCATCTTTGATGAAAGTACTGGTGGGCGATAATTTTAAACTGTGCTAAACAGTGATTTTCCAATGCACTCTCCCAGTGTTAATTCATCTGACTGCAAATACCAACTTTGACTTCTTCAACCCGTTAAAATTAAGTGATTAGTTACACCTTACTAGTCTTTTTTTTTGGAATAATTTTTTTGTAATTGTGTAATAATCAATCACCATCTTTGTTTATATGGGAACAATATCTTGTACAAGTGTGGTGCGGTGCGACGCGGTGAGACGACCACCACGCTTCAATACATGTTTTATGTCATTTAGATGTATCACTGGTACACAAGGCTTTCCAGTGATGTAACAAGAAAAAGTAAATTCTGCTTGGTCATTGATACAAACCAAAAATTGTATTTAATGTATACTGGATTATTAAAATATGACTTATTTTGACCACATTTATTTTTTGAATATTATTATTCACTGGGTTTTGATATCACTATTTGCACTGATAAATAAAATCTGCTATATTAAATCTATGTGAACATGTGAAATAACAATAAATCTCATTGTTTTGTTGACAATTTCGTGAAATTAAAACACAGTGAATATGCTCAAAACATCACAATAGTGAAAATAAATGGTTTTACAGTTAAGCAAATACATAAATAAAATTATGATTTCATAAACCAAAACAGGTGACTCATTACCTTCACCCCACGCACAGGCACCAAGCTGATATCAACGTTGATTTTCACAAATTCCCCGTATTATACAAGATCACAAAACTGCTGATCTCAGAAGTTGCATATTTTAGAGTGGTGATCAACCCATTTGACACTGCAATCATGGAGGTCCATGCTACAGTGAACATGAATATGTCTGATATATATTCCGGGAGTACTGCAAAATATAGCGTGGATCTGAAAGCACATTCATCCGGACTGTAGATACTACCGCGAGAGACAAGGTGAGTCATGGGACGAGCGTCACCAGTCTGTGCATCGTCAACATCGACAAAATTTGAGTATGTCTACCAACATTTTAAATCTCATAAACTGGTTGCGGGCAATACAAGCAAGGATGAAGTAGAAAATATTAAGTTTTATAAAGGCGGAAGTAACCAAACTTTTAGCATAAATCAGGAAACAGGGTCACACCCCTTTCGTCCAACAAAACAAAAAACAATTTAAACGAAGTCCCTCAAAATAACCCCATCTAGACCATATACAGTCTCGGTACTGATACATACCAATTGACGTCGTTCTTGTCGTCCAGCACATCTTGCCATGCTTTGACGAGCGAGGCCTTGTGTTTGAGGAAACTGATCGCCATGTTGACTGCAAAGTTTGTCGGAAGTGACCTCGATGACGTTGTATTTATGGTGCTCATATTTATGACGTCACCATTATGGCGTCCGAGCGATCAGCTGAGAGCCAATGATTTTTTTTTTTTACAGTCATAATCTCCGGTTTGACAATCTTTGGGTTTGTTATGTAAATAATGTTTGCAAAACGGTAACATTTGATAAGGGGCGGGCGGGCCACCAGATTTCGAGACTGGTCTGACCACGAACATCGACAATTCAAAATATTTTCTTTTCACAATTGGCCAACTTTGCATATATCTTTTCTAATTTTGAATCAAGTCGGCTTCATGCACGTGAAAGGCATCAAAAACTGACTGGCCTTTTGAAAAGAACGGAAAAAAAGACAGCGCAGTTTAGAGCCACCGCAAGAGGGCGCGGTAAACGACGACGTCCTTTTCCTTTTCAGGTATGTAGGCGTGAGTGGGCCCTCGCCGGCCGATCGGCATCAGACCTATGTTGGCTCACGCGACCAAGATTTTGAAAAATATATTATCCAAATTGCCACGGCTGGGCCAGTCCAATTTGTGAGGTCATATATAACTTGTAGAGAAAATCACTTAATTTGATATTAGCATTATTATTAACAAGAAATTCTTGTAAATAATACACATTTACACACTAATAACGCGTATCTGTTATAATGATAGGGTTGATGTTGCTATTTACATGCCATTAAAATTGTTATTAAAATGAATTGTGTTAAGGGCTTTTTAGCAAACTTCGGCAGTAAAAATGCCAAATGTGCAAGTGAAAAATATAACAACTACAAACTTGCAAGGTTCCATTCACGACAATGATATTCAGTTTGGTTCTGCATCATGTACTTGAAAATAGTGAAACTGAGAATTCTAACCCGAAACTCCCTGATGATTTCTTATTACCGCGTTTTTATTTCATCAAATCGCTTTTCATTATTCCCACTCGCTATAAAATATAATTATCCACCACCCACTCTGAAAGAATGTTTGTATGTGACTTTGAATGAGGAAGTCGTCCATTTTGTGCAACATATACAGGGGCGGATCTAGGATTCTGGAATAGGGGGGGGGGTAAGTTGGCCGAATGCCAAGTTCGGGAGCGCCGATGGCGCGAAGCCCAGTTGGTTGTTAAAAATAGGGGCCCGCCCCTCTAAATCCGCCCATGATTTATGACATTACGTCACTCTTGGGATATGACAGAACCATTTATTCAAAGGTATCCGTTTATTTTGTCAATTCAATCTGTCATTGCGCCCGCCAGCTTTATTTTGAGTACAACAATGGATTTGCTTTACACATTGAATCACACAAAGAAGTCGGAGATTAACAAAATTGAAATTATATTGTCAAACTATTATGACCGATCATGCTGCTAGAAACTCGCACAAATAGTTAACATTGAGAGTGCATTAAAGTATCGATTATACGGTCGTTAGAAAAATAGATCGATACTGCAAAGAGAACCAAGAACGAATCACTATCATACAAACGGAGGTTATCTCCAACATTACTTTCAGAACGGTGTGTTGCGTATTGATCTATTACGGTAACCTTGTGTTTTTATTTTCACGTTAAGTCGCCCGGAAGTTGCTACAACACTTGGTATTTCTAGTCCTGAAGCCCTGAAGCAAGCGTGACCAAAAACCGGGCGTTGAAAAGTCTTTCCCTAAGAAACGGTGCAACAGTGCATCAACAGGTTGTCAACACATCACTGCTACCATTTAACAACACCACGACGGACCTAACATGAACACCAAAAAGGTGACAATACTTGCGCTGAAGAACAGTCGCATCAACGATGGCTCTTTGCCCGAAGACGTCATGGAGGTGAGACCAAGGCCACAACGCAGTAAAACTACAGACGAAAAGACATATCTGTCACAAACACAGACTTCTCGGCGTAAAGCCATCGTAGGCGTCGGATACAAAGGACAAGAACAGCAGCAGACCGATTTAGGTTCTGAACTCGAGATACGAACATATGGACCGCCACAGTCGCTACCACCGATCTACACACAAAAACTGCGGGTACCTGCTCCGAGAGACGACGTCAAAGAATTGAATGTTGCCGAAAAAAGAAAAGCGTCCATCCAAGAACTTGAACAGATTGAAAAGTCATGTCGCTATATTATCAAACGTGACGACAAGCGGACTTAAAATAAGACAAAATTTAATACACATGTGTTGTCATACGGACATTCAATATTTTACTGTTGTCACATTATTATATGCAAATGAACACCCACTTTTGTGATTTACCCATCTATGAACACTAGTTTTTGTCTGTTTTTAGCAATTTCTTCAAGATTGGAAACATTGAAGCAATTTATCCTAACTTGATGTATATTTAGAATTCTAATTTTACTTCAATATCACTGAAAACAATTATTATTATGTTTTTTTTGTTTGTAAATAAACGCAGAATTCTAATCTAGCACATAATCTGATTATCGTGTCGAGTGAGCATGCGCATGTTTGATTTGGTTTTGGTCTGCGATATTCAATCATAAAATACAAATAATAGTATCACAATTCGACGTCTCTATGTGATTTATTGCTTGTATTAAAAATATTTCACAAACCAATTTAATTACAATAAGATCCCAGTTTGGGTTTATTTTATTTTATTATTTATATATTTTCAAATATTTTAATTAATGAATTATTTGCTGGTTATCGCGAAAGTTCATACACAAATATTATGTACGTAATAGGAAACAATCAAAAATACGCAATAGTGTAAAATGAAGTGCATGCCATAGAATACATCAGATTTTGACTAAATTGGATCCAGTGAGTCTTGTCTGCAATCGGCAAAATGCATGTCTGTGTCGGAGTGATTTTTTAAACATTTCATGTTTGGGAAAGTGTGACATATATCGTTACTGGCAGTCAAGTTATGCTGTTTAAAAACAAACCATCGTAGCAAAACCGCCCCTTCGCGCTCTATCGAATTTAGTTTAGTCGGGTGGATCAATTTGACACTGGGCGAATTATATAGTGTTAAGCGCCCACCCCTGTGGGATGATCTCTGCTTATATTAATACAATGAACGGTATGTGCGGCGACACTCGGTTGACCATAAGCGCCCTCAAGTGATGATGTGAGGACAACCTGTTTTAATTCTATACAAGCATGTATGAGAACACGAAGGGAATCTACGAATAATGTAGGAGACTAGACAATAACGTACAGTCTGAACATGCATAATTATTGGCCGGCTGTTTTCAAGATATGACATTTAAAGTAGTTTAAAGCTGCCGATTTATGCAATAAATCAACAAGTACAAGACGTCATAAAACAACTTACTGAATGATGCAGAACTTGTGCAGTGACCCGCTTAGGGAAAAGTATCGTTTGAATTTGATCTGACCTGTAGGTCCCAGTCGACATATACATGCCCGAATTACATCAGCGCCGAATGTCAGACTGGGACTAGGAATTGTTCAGACCGTCATAAAATTCACTGAATTCACGACTCAATTTGGTTGACCTATGTCCATTACAGCCTCGAGGGGGGAATTAAAAGATAAGGTATGGCATTAAGCTTAAATGAAATGACAATGATTATTATCACCCGGTAATAATATACATTCATATTTGATAATTACATATAACAAACAATACCGCATTCTGGGCATTCTCGTTGTAAACAGTTGAAAGTCGTTGATTATTAACAGCACATGTGTTATCTACGCCGGGTGGTGATGTCAATCCACGAATTGAACGCGATCCCGAGACGACAGCATGTGACGACTTTAGTCTTCGTGTCATTAAAAACGTAGTAGTCATACACAAATTATTTTTTTTCATCATATACTTCATTTTTAAATCGTGTCGTAATAACCTTGTCAACCAATCCCCCTTCTGTCACATACTAGTAATTTCCTGACGTACACCTATCGATCCTTTGTTAATGTTATGACCTGCTTGTATTGAAGCGCTGAGAATTGTCTAATAAAACTGCCACTGTTAAGGAAAGGTAGCACAACCCACTCCATTCTGTGAAGATCCCCCATCCAATGATTTACCGGGGGCTGAAGGGGTCATTGTGGAACATTAAAAAACTACGCGGTGAACACCACTTCTACTTGTTGAGGTGGTTATTTGGCGTGAAATAAAGGATACGAGTCAGACAGTTTTAAACATGTATTGACACTACATCAAACAACTATTTCAGCGTTTGGTATATACATACTTCAGAAGTGATTAAGTACAAGATTATCGTGTACGGCACATAAAGCTCGCTGTAAAGAGGAATTAATACTATTTACATCTACTTATCCTAATATAAAACACGCCTTCGCCGATAGGTTAGTGTCGTTATTTTGAAAATATTGTTGTATAATTAGAAGTTACTCTGCTCTTCCAGCCGGATTCAATAGCATTCGTGTTTCCTGACGGTTTGTCCCCAGGCGAAGCTAATCTCTGTAACCTGTGTTATTCAGTTTGTTTAATGGAGTATGGTACGGGGCAACATTGTTGATGGGAACCAGAAAGAAACAAATGCGCTGTGTCTCGAAGTGACGTCACATGGTGTGAGAGTCAGAGTGCGACAAGGGTGCCGGTCTAAAAGGTTAGTCGGTATCGAGCGTCACCGGTCAAATCTGTGGAGTGGCACGAGGAAGCAAAGCGACGAGTAAGATTCTATAAGCGGACTTGCAATGGAATTTCGTCCGTTTCTTAAAAAACGCCAAAAGTCTAAAACACATACACCGAAATGGTTACTCGCATCGCTTTCAGAGGCAAAGAACGCCGTGGTTGAATATGAACAAGTCGTGACTTTGAACTCAAAGACATCGACTGAAAGGAAAGTTGAAGAGCGAGGTGATGACAAAACACCTCCCATCAGTATTCACGGACTTGTACTTAGACAAGGGCGCAATGAAAACCACGAGAACACTATACATCGAGCAGAAAGGCAGTTTGTGTCGACTCGGACAAAACAGCATGGTCGTAACTCAGGGCAACCCATAGATGAATTGATTTTACGACTAGAAATGGAACCAG